TCCGCGCTGAATCCCCCTCCCTGGCGCGCAGAGCGCGCCAGGGGCGGCGCCGGAGGCGCCGCCAGGGGGGGCCCAGCGCGGATCCAAGAAATCCGCGCGGAGCGCCACAAGTTTATGCTTTTGGCGTTTTCTCTTCTTCGAAAGATCTACTCCACGGCGGGGGGGGGGAGGGGGGGGGGCGAGGGCCCACGCCGATCGGCAAAACAACAAATACGAACACGATCTCACAACCCGTCGCGGCACTCCGCCGGGCGGGTGCTGTCTCGAGAGCGGCGCGCGCACACGAGATTCGCGGGTGTAGATACGAGCGCAGGGAGGGGATATTTTTTGTTGGGGATGCTCCATGCGATGCTCCCGGAGTCATCCGCACATGCAGTCTTGCAATTCGCGTGCAGCAATTCTGGAAGCTGTGGTGGTGAGGGGTGCTGGGGGGGAGGGTGCTAAGGTAGAAAGAAAGGAGGGGGGCATACTGAGAAACACAAGTTATCCTTCACCTCGAGTGCAGGTCCGCCGCTGTGACGACAGCACGCCTTGGCGTGATATAGTAGCTGCTCGCTGTCATAAAAGGCTTACGTACTTCTCCAGGACCCCCCATCGCATGCACGCCTCTAGGATAGCTGAACTACTTACTCCCCAAGGATAGCTGGACAACTTACTCCCCAAAGGCCCCAGCCACCAGTGAGCCCTCAAGTGGCGCCAATGGCGCCCTCCAGCATGCCCTGGGATACCACATACACTGAACAACAAGCCGTCTCCAGCCTAAGCTTGCTTCATCAATACTGCAAGCAACCCACGACGACCCGAACGGGTCCCACTTCAAGACGGCCCGAATAATCTCGCCAAGACTGCCCCAAGACGGCCGGAAGAGCCGACCAGACGGGAGTGCTCGATATCATCACGCACCAAGAGGGCTCCAGGACCCACAACGGGCCCCGAAGAAGCCTTCCTGAAACCCACACTCCATCCCCAAGAGGGCCCCCAAGTGCCCCAACGAATCGCCCAAGAAGTCTCCCAGAAGCTCCTGGGGTGCGGCGCAACAGCGCGCAAAGTTACGACAAAGTCACGCGACAGTTAGGTCGGGCGTGTCCCCCTACAGGCGGATTTGGGGCGGAAACTTAAACATAAGAGTTGAGAAAGAATCGAAACATCGTCCCCAGACTACTTTTTACAGTTTTGCAATATTCCCCCTGTAGAAGGACGTGCCCGACTTAACGCTACAGCATCGTCCCGCTGCTTTCCCAATGGCCCCAAGATGATCCAACCGATCCTCTTCGTGAGGGCTCGGTAGGACTGTCATGGTGCAATTCGATGTTGCGCTGGTGCGGTGGCGGGGCTTGCCGCAGGCAGCTGGACAGTCACCCCCAGCTCCAGCCTGCACTGCACAGTGCACTGGCAGCGTCTGCTGGTGCATCTCGGGAGATCCTGCAGCGAGGCGATCTTGCTCGAGGACGTACCGACCTGGGTCAGCGCAAAAACCCAGGTCGACCAAGGCCACGTCGCGAGCCCAGGCCGACCACGAAGCAGCTCCCGAACCCGCATCAGCGAGGGGCGGGGGAGCGGGTCGGCTCCAGGTGGCTCCCGAACCCCGGTCAGCCAGAAGATCTCGCAAAGGATTGGCTGACCTCCGTTTTGGAGACCCGAAATGGGTACGGACAACACGGGTACAATGCCCAATGGCCCAACAACAAATGTTGGCCAAAACCGACAGTGGCCGCTGTTGGGCGGGCGGCTTTTTGTCCTCAAAGAACAACGCCCGCGGCGGCGCGGACAGCGAATCCTGTTCAAACATGATCGACCCACGAACCCGGAAAGGAATATAGAAATGTAAGGCATGGCAACGTTTCAGAGACACTTGATTGGGCGACGGGCAACTGCAGTGCTGAATGTACAAATTGTACTGTGCCGAGGGCTGTGCTGTGCTGGCCGTGCTGAACTGCGATGTTCCATGCCGCGATTGTGCTCTATATGGCGTTGTGGATCGAGTCCTCCCTGGCATCCGAGTCCTGACCGAACAGATCTGGATCTTAAGCTCGAGCTGCCTGAGCAGATGGTAGCTGTCCCAGAACTAATCGACAGAGGGGACATGCCAGGAGGCCGCGCCGCGGAACGTCCCAAGGGACGCGCCAGGCGGCGTGCCAGGGGACGTGCCATGTGCACGCACCGCGGGACGTGCCAAGGGGACGCGCTACGGAACGTGCCAATGGACGTGCCGCGGGACGTTCCAGGGGACGCTCCGCGCGACGTGCCAGGTGGACTCGCCAAGGAACGCGCCAAGGAACGTGCCAAGATGCTATGTTGAATGTATCGATCTTGATGTACCGTGCCGACGGCTGCGCTGTGCTGGCCGTGCTGAAGTGCGATGTGACATGCCGCGATTGTGCTCTATATAGCGTTGTGGATCGAGTCCTCTTTGCATCCGAGTCCTGACCGAACTGATCTGGATCTTAAGCTCGAGCTGCCTGAGCAGATGGTAGCTGCCCCAGAACTAATCGACAGGGGGACATGCCAGGAGGACGCGCCGCGGAACGTCCCAAGGGACGCGCCAGGCGACGTGCCAGGAGACGTGCCATGGGCACGCACCGCGGGACGTGCCAAGGGGACGCGCTACGGAACGTGCCAATGGACGTGCACCGCGCGACGTGCCAGGGGGACTCGCCACGGGACGCTCCGCGGAACGTGCCAGGCAACATGCCAAGCTGCAATGCTCAAGGTATCGATATTGATGTACCGTGCCGAGGGCTGTGCTGTGCCTGGGCGACCTGGACACGTGAAAACACGCGTTTCGCTCAAGACGTTCTCAGCACATCCTCACGCTAGACATCCGCCTGGGCAACCTGGACACGTGCAAACAAGCGTCTCGGTCGAGATTTCCTCGACACATCCTCATGCTAGACATCCGCCTGGGCGACCTGGACACGTGAAAACAAGCCTCTGGTTCGAGAAATCCTCAACAAATCCTCATACTGGACATCTGTCTGGGCAACCTGGAGGCGTGAAACCAAGCGTCTCGTTCGAGACATCCTCAAGACCTGGGCACGTGAAAACAAGCATTTCACTTGAGAGATCCTCTGAATTCAGGTCCCCAGGAGAGGACAATCTTTAACACAAAACAAGCGTTTCGCTCGAGACATCCTCAACAAATTCTGAAAACAAGCGTTTCGCTGGGGACATCCTCAAATTTTAATTCGCCGACCCTCTTCCCACTCGTTATTTATTGCAAAAGAAATCCGCCGGCCCTCTTCCTGCCAGACCCGGGGGCAAACAGCTAAAAGAGAACCCTGGGCCTAGGCCCTTTCCGAGAAAAATGATCAGGAACAGCTGTTGGGCATCGTACCCATCCTCTCCGTACCCACTCCGATCGTCCCGAGTCGTTAGCGCTGACCCCATTGCGTGAGCTCCGACTCGCTCGCCTCCTCGCCCTGCGAGCCAGGCGGCCGGCCTTTCTAGCCGCCGCCCAGCAACTGCGACCGCTTCCGCGGGCGAGGCGAGTCGCACCTGGTCGACGCAGCGCACTGCGCCAGCTGGCACGACGGCAGGCGCCCCCGGCCCGTTCCCTGGCAGACCTCCGCCTCGGCGACCGAAGCAGCCTCTGAGCATCGTGTGACCGATACCGGTGCCCACTGGCGTGGCCTCGGTCCCACTGGCCGCCTTGCCCACCCAGGTGTGGATATGCGCCTGTTCCTTCGAGTGTCGCGTGGCCTATCCCCACCTATGGGACGGCGGGCCGGTGGGGCTGAGACGCCGTGGCCCAGTGGAAAGGGAGCACGTTCAAAATGATAACGATGGAAATGCTGATGATGGTGATGATGATGATGGTGGTGGCGATGATGATATTTCTGAAACGGATGGTGTTGATACTGGTGGTGACGATAATCACGATGATGACGATAATGATGATGGGGAATTGATGACAATGATGGTGTTGCTGATGAGCATAATAATGATGATGACGCTGCTGATGATGATGCTTATGATGCTGGTGATGACGATGGAGGTTACGATGATGACGAAGACGAGTATGATGCTGCTGGCGACGATTGTGCTTCCAATGATGGTGGTGATGATGAAGTTGCTGAAGATGGCGATGACGATGACGATGCTGATGACGATGCTGATGATGGTAGTGATGATGCTGATGATGGTAGTGAAGACTGCTTTGTGATGACGATGATGACGATGCTGCTGATGATGCACTTTGTTCTTCGCACCGTGCCCTCCAGGTCTCCCCTGCGCCTGAGACGGCACGTCAAGCTGCTGAAAGGAACGTCATGCAAAAGCGCCTCGCGTGAGGCACGAGAAGATTGAGGTCAGCGCAGCTGGCGTGCGAGCGGGCGACCGCGAGCGAGCCATTATACCTTGCTGCGCTGGCCTGCATCCGCGAGCCAAATCGGAACCGAGCAGTCGGGCAAGGTCCCCCTTCCCATCGCCGGGCCTTCAACATGCGGCCATGCGTCTGGAATCCGCGCTCGCGTTTCACTCTCTGGAGCAAGCCCAATCTGCGCCACTGTAGCAAATGGAAAGGCACAAGCTGGGCGGGTGTGGCGTCTGGCAGGGCGGGCTGGCGGGCCAGGTGCCCAGCCCAGGTCAGCCTGCAAAGATTCACGTCTAAGTCCCATGTCGCGCGGGACTGGAGAGCGGCAGAGACGCGGCGCCAGCGGCGGCGACAGAAGTCAGCTGAGAGAACATGCGCGGTGCGTGACTCGAATTAGATTGAGATCCCTGGCCGCGGGGCACCGCGATGCTGACCCGTGGAGCAAGACAGGTTTGATTGCTGACTCGAGCAGCTTCGCGGTATGCTGCCAGCGGCAGGCGCGTCCAGGTAGAGACATCTTGAGAGCGTAAAAGGCTCTCCTGGCGCGAGCTACCCTGTGCCGCGCGCCCTTCCAATACCATCCATCGAAAGTGAAAATAAAGCCGAGGCAAGGAAAACCCTCGGCACGAGGCGTGCGCGCCAGGACGCCATCCTCGACCCTCATCTGGTAGTCGCTGAACTCGTGGTCCAGCGCCGTCGTACCCCAGGTCAAACCCGAGGGAGGTACGCGCCGGCCGCGAGCTCGCAGGAAACGCCGCCAGGCCATCGCCATCTGGCGCAGCGACCCGGCCGTGCCCGCAAACAGCCAGAATGTCGGCGTAGAGAAGCCCCGCCTCGTACAATGTCGCCTCGCCCGGGAACTCGCAGCCCCGGCCGCGCGTCCGGCATTCGCCCAGGAACTCCTCCCAGGCATCCTCCAGCACGAGATTGAAGGGGATCGCGCTGGCTAGATCTCCTTGTCGAATGCCGCGTGTCCGAGGTACTGGTTGCGTCTGGATCGAGCACATGGTGATCACGGCCGTCGCCTTCAATTCCCTCGTGATGGCAAGGATCACGGGCCCTGGCACAGCCCTTCTTCTCAGTGTCTCCTCGACCGAGCGGTGCGAGACGCGGTCGAATGCCGCCTCGATATCGCCATCCATGATAGAGATGGGTATGTTCCACTTGCGGGCCTTCTCCGCCATCATGCGCATGCTGAAGGTCACGCCCATCGCTTGGTGGAGCTCCCGAAAGGCGCACTGTGGGTTCCGCAGGGTCAACTGGCACACTTCTTGACTAGGCCAACCGAGTAGAGCTTCTCGAAGGTAGTGAGGAGCATGATCGGCCTGTACCCCTTGAGCGCGTGCTTGCCTCCCTTCTTCATCATGAGCTGGATGATGTGCTTCGACCAGGCCTGGCCACTGGCATGCTCGGATACCCCGCGGAAGTGGCTCTCGAAGACGGCCGCGAGCGAGGCGAGGGAGCCCGAGTCGAGGGCCTGCAAAACCTCGGCGACCACCCCGCCCACGCCAGGCGCCCGCATGGCCTTCATGTCGCACAGAGCCTCGCGGAGCATCTCGGGCGAGAAGGGCGGGATATCGAATGCATCCTCCGTCGTGAAGTGGGCGAGGCAGGCAGTGGCCCCGACGAGCTCCTCCCTGTCGCTGGCCCTGCAGGCGCTGCCGTAATCGCGCTCCAGGAGCTCCTTGATCCGCAGCGGGTCGTCATCGATGCCCCCCTCCGCGTTCATCGGCTGGTCGTGGATCGCGCCAGGCTGAGCTCGGCGAGGCCCTCAGGCGCTCGTGCTCGGGGATTGCCAGCCTCGTGGAGGCAGTGCTGCAGGGCCCTGTTCGCGGCCCAGACCTTCCCGCGGATCCGGATGGCATCCTCGCTGTAGATCGCGCGCTGAACGCGGTCGCGTGTGACCCGCCGACGCGCTTCCAACATCCGCAGCGTCTGCATGAGCTCGCGGCCCTCGGGGAGCCTGGGAACCCTCCTCGCAGGTAGGCCCCTGCCACAGGCAGCGGCAGCCAGGTGCACTGCGTCCGCCATGGAAGTAATCGGCGCTGGGTTGTGCTCGGCGTAGCAGGCGCCGTGGCTCCAGCGCTGGAAGCGGTTGTCGAGACAGGTCCAGCCCTTCATAGGCGCACGACCTCCGTTCCAGATACAGCGCCTCCTGGTGCCAAGGGTGGACTCCAGCTTGATGGCCGCGTGGTCGGATTGCGCGCTGTCGGACCTCCTCTAGCGTGGTGCGGCCTTCCAGATGTCGCGATCGGGAATCAGGACAGAGTCGATCTGGGCTGGCGGACGCTTGAAATCGCAGTGGCAGGCGGGCCCGCTCGCCGCCGCAGTGAACGTGTTCGCCGCCGCCAGGTCGCGCTGCATGAGAAATCTCGTCAACATCTCGGCGCGACGCGTGCGCTGACCGACTGGGAAGTCCCCGATCCAGCGCTCCTCGTCCGCCTGCGGGGGGGGGGGCAAGGTCGCCCGCGCGTCCGCGCCCACGATCGGGCACGCCCCAAGCGGTGCCATCGTGATCAGGTCGGATAGCTCCTCCGTGGAGTTATCATAGGGGGCGCCCTGGAAAATGTGACAGCACGCTATCCAATAGTCCGTCTTGCGGATGCGAAATAGGCGCGCCGCCGAGCGCCCCCATGGTAGCAAAACTCCTCGTAGAAAAAGTCAAGCCCGTGAGCGCACCGGCAGCCCCATCTGCTTTTGCCACTCGACCCGCGGTGTGACCAGGTAGAAGTCGCCCTCGCCGACCTCCAACCTCGTGGTCTTGCCCCAGTAGCCGGCCTCCTGGAAGATGGCCGCGTCGTGGTCGTGCTGTTCGCGCAGCGTCGCTGCAAAGTACTCGGCGCTGTGCTTCGCAATGCCCTGAGCGTCCCAGCTGATGAGCTTGAAGCACATCTGCTCCTCGGACTCCTCCAGAGTCCTCTCCTTGTCCAGTCATTGGCTGGTTGACCTTGGCCTGGAACTCGACCAGGCTGAGGTGCGCGCCCGCATGGGCGCTGATGTCGGCCGCGACGTGCTCCTTGAAGCTCATGAGGCCCGTGGTCCGCACCATCTCGCCGAACCTGTGCTGCTTTCACCAGATGATGCCCCGAATGTAGTCCAGCTCGAGGTCCGCCGCCAGCACGCCTAGGTTGTCGGTCATCTCCTTCTTCGCACGCGAGATCATCATTGACAGCCGGATTTCCCCCGAGGGCTTCTCCACAAGCGACGACCCAGGTGATGTAGCTGCGGCGTTGTGATCTGCTTCCCTTTCATCGAACGTACACACGCCCACGTGCGCCCCGAACTCGTGAAACTGACCTTCAGGAAATTGGCACGCTTGAGCGGGACGAACGCCCCATCCTCTACTTTGTCGGGAATGGCGTCGGTGAGCGCAAGCTTCGTTCAGGATGGCGTCGCGGGGTGTGTCCCGATCCCAGCCGCCGATAGTCACACATATCTTGTCGCAAGCCCTGTTCGGCCCCGACGCGACCCGCTGTGCCGGCGCGCCCCCCACCCCCGAGAAGCGCAGCGGATGCCCGACCGAGGATGCCGCCGTGGATGAGGGAACCGCCGAACGTCCCTGACATAAGTCCTTGATATCCTGCTCCATGTTGTTGAGGCGCCCTTCGTGTCTCTCGACGTCCCTGCGTACATTGTCGATGGACGTATTCACGTCCGCGAAATCTTTCGCCATCGGCTCCTTGATCTCGGAGCGCAGCATTTCCCTAACGTGCATCATCATCGTGGGTCCGTCCTTTGCTGCTGGCACTGGTACTGGCTCGCACGAGCGGCGGCGCGAGCCCATCGACATTTAGCACTTGGAGGCAGAATCGTAAAACAGATGGCAGCTGCGAGCCCCAGCCCATGCCGCCGCGAGAGCCAAAATGGATGATGATGGTGATGATGCTGATGTGGAAGATGTTTTGCTGATGACGATGGCCATGACGATGATGACGACTATGACGATGACAATGATGACGATGGTGATGATGATGCTGATAATGCATGCTGATGGTGGTGATGATGATGATGTTGAGTTTGATGGTGTTGCTGTTGATGTTGATGTTGATGGTGACTGTGTTGATAGCGATGTTGATGTTGCTACTGTTGATGTTGATAGTGGTGATGATTCTGATGATGCTGATACTGACGATGGCAATAGCGGTGATAACGCTGCTGATGCTGACGATGACGATGTCGAAGACGAAGATGGTGCTGCTGATGATCATGACGAGTATGATGATGCTGATGATGACGATTGTGAGGACGATGATGACGATGCTGCTGCTGCTGATGATGATGATGGTGATGGTATTGATAACTGTTGCTGTTGTTGATGACGATGGCGATGAATATGTTGACGACTATGATAATGACAATGATGACGATGGTGATGCTGATGCTGCTGATGATGATGATGCTGGAATTGATGATGATATTGATGTTGATGTAGATGCTGATGTTGTTGCTGTTGATGTGTTGCTGATGGCAGTGATGACGATGGTGATGATTAGGACTATGATGACGATGCTGTTGCTGATGATGATGCGGGTGGTGATGATGATTATGTTGAAATTGATGTTGTTGCTGTTCAGGTTGATGTTATGATGATGATGCTGATGATGATGATGATGATGATGATGATGATGATGTGGATGATGATGATGATGATGATGATGATGATGATGATGATGATGATGATGATGATGATGATGATGATGATGAGGAGGATGCTGATGCTGATGCTGATGATGCTGCTGATGATGATCGCCATAACCGTCATCAGATGCTGAGCCTCCCAGGCGGCAAGCCACCAGAGCCCGAGCAGCAGGCCGTGGGAGCCCTCCTCCGCGAGCGCCCACACGCTCACCACCAGCGCCGCCCCAGAGGCGCACCACGCCGCGGCGCCCGGCGAGCCCTGGCCTTAGGTCGGGCATGTCCTCCTACATGCAAATGTTGGACGAAAAATTATTAGTAGTCATCGCATACCCCCAACATGATGGACCCACGAACCCGGAAAGGGATATAGACATGTGGAGCATGGACACGTTTTCATGATACCCAACTGGGCAACACCTCACGAAACATCCCACGAGACACCTCACGAAACAGCCCACGAGACACCTCACGAAACATTCCACGAGACACCTCACGAAACATTTCACGAGACACCCCGCGAAACATTCCACGAGACACCCCACGAAACATTCCACGACGACAGGCAACCACTCAACCAAGGCGGTGTGGTCGTGCTGGGGAGTGGTCGTGCTGGGGCTGTGGTCGTGCTGGGGGTGTGGTCGTGCTGGGGGTGGTCGTGTGCTGTCGTGGTCGTGCTGGGGCGTGGTCGTGCTGGGGCGTGGTCGTGCTGGGGCGTGGTCGTGCTGGGGCGTGGTCGTGCTGGGGTGTGGTCGTGCTGTGGTAAGGTCGTGCTGGGGTGTGGTCGTGCTGGGGTGTGGTCGTGCTGGGGTGGGTCGTGCTGGGGTGTGGGTGCGTGCGTGCTGGGTGCGTGCAGTGGTCGTGCTGGGGTGGGGTCGTGCTGTGGTCGTGCTGGGTGTCGTGGTCGTGCTGGGGCGTGGTCGTGCTGGGGTGGTCGTGCTGGGGTGTGGTCGTGCTGGGGTGTGGTCTTGCTGGGGTAGGGTCGTGCTGGGGTGGTCGTGCTGGGGTGTGGTCGTGCTGGGGTATGGTCGTGCTGGGGTGTGGTCGTGCTGGGGTATGGTCGTGCTAGGGTGGGGTCGTGCATTTCGCTCGAGACATCCTGCCAAAATTCCAGGAAATCGTACAAAAACAAACGAATTAGTCGAGACATCATCGAAATTCCTTCGCGCGGGGCGCTTTTCCGCGTCGCGGTCGGCTCTGCAAAACAAGCGTTTCGCTCGAGACATCCTCGGCAAACTCTGCGGAGCAAGCGTTTCGCTCGAGACATCCTCAACACACGAAAAAGTGGCCCGCACCCTGTGATTTATCGATCGGGATTTCAAAAACAAGCGTTTCGCTCGAGACATCCTCAAATTTTAATTCGCCGGCCTCCTTCGACCTCGATATTTATCAGGGAAAAAATTCGCCGGCCTCCTTCAAGTTGGCACCGGGGGACAGGTTTACCACTAAAAGAGAACCCTGGGCCAGCCCTTTCCGGGAAAAACATGATGGACCCACGAACCCGGAAAGGGATATAGACATGTGGAGCATGGACACGTTTTCATGATACCCAACTGGGCAACACCTCACGAAACATCCCACGAGACACCTCACGAAACAGCCCACGAGACACCTCACGAAACATTCCACGAGACACCTCACGAAACATTTCACGAGACACCCCGCGAAACATTCCACGAGACACCCCACGAAACATTCCACGACGACAGGCAACCACTCAACCAAGGCGGTGTGGTCGTGCTGGGGAGTGGTCGTGCTGGGGTGTGGTCGTGCTGGGGGGTGGTCGTGCTGGGGGGTGGTCGTGCTGGGGGGGTGGTCGTGCTGGGGGGTGGTCGTGCTGGGGCGTGGTCGTGCTGGGGCGTGGTCGTGCTGGGGCGTGGTCGTGCTGGGGCGTGGTCGTGCTGGGGCGTGGTCGTGCTGGGGTGTGGTCGTGCTGTGGTAAGGTCGTGCTGGGGTGCGGTCGTGCTGGGGTGTGGTCTTGCTGGGGTGGGGTCGTGCTGGGGTGTGATCGTGCTGGGGTGGGGTCGTGCTGGGGTGTGGTCGTGCTGGGGTGTGGTCGTGCTAGGGTGGGGTCGTGCTGGGGTGGGGTCGTGCTGGGGAGTGGTCGTGCTGGGGTGTGGTCGTGCTGGGGTGTGGTCATGCTGGGGCGTGGTCGTGCTGGGGTGGGGTCGTGCTGGGGTGGGGTCGTGCTGGGGTGGGTTCGTGCTGGGGTGCTCCGCACCCTGTGATTTATCGATCGGGTCGTGCTGGGGTGTGGTCGTGCTGGGGTGTGGTCGTGCTGGGGTGTGGTCGTGCTGGGGTGTGGTCGTGCTGGGGAGTGGTCGTGCTGGGGTGTGGTCGTGCTGGGGGGTGGTCGTGCTGGGGGTGGTCGTGCTGGGGGGGTGGTCGTGCTGGGGGGTGGTCGTGGTCGTGCTGGGGCGTGGTCGTGCTGGGGCGTGGTCGTGCTGGGGTGTGGTCGTGCTGTGGTGAGGTCGTGCTGGGGTGTGGTCGTGCTGGGGTGTGGTCTTGCTGGGGTAGGGTCGTGCTGGGGTCGGGTCGTGCTGGGGTGTGGTCGTGCTGGGGTATGGTCGTGCTGGGGTGGGGTCGTGCTGGGGTGGGGTCGTGCTGGGGTCTGGTCGTGCTGGGGTGTGGTCGTGCTGGGGTATGGTCGTGCTAGGGTGGGGTCGTGCATTTCGCTCGAGACATCCTGCCAAAATTCCAGGAAATCGTACAAAAACAAACAAATTAGTCGAAACATCATCGAAATTCCTTCGCGCGGGGCGCTTTTCCGCGTCGCGGTCGGCTCTGCAAAACAAGCGTTTCGCTCGAGACATCCTCGGCAAACTCTGCGGAGCAAGCGTTTCGCTCGAGACATCCTCAACACACGAAAAAGTGGCCCGCACCCTGTGATTTATCGATCGGGATTTCAAAAACAAGCGTTTCGCTCGAGACATCCTCAAATTTTAATTCGCCGGCCTCCTTCGACCTCGATATTTATCAGGGAAAAAATTCGCCGGCCTCCTTCAAGTTGGCACCGGGGGACAGGTTTACCCACTAAAAGAGAACCCTGGGCCCGAGCCCTTTCCGGGAAAAACGGTCAAACATAGTCGGAAAATCGCCCCCTGACTATTTGTTTGACGATTTTGAATACTCCTCCTGTAGAGGAACACGCCCGATTTAACCCTGGCCGCCGGCGGGGCGCAGGGCATGCGCGGCGCAGGCGCCGAGGGCGCAGCCCGCCACCGCCAGAGCCCGGCCCCGCTCGTCGGGGAACTCGGCCGGGCTGCGCTGGAAGGCCTGGATGACCCCCCCGACCATGTGGCCGAGCACGTACTCCTGTAGTAGGCGCCTCCAAGATAGGGTCGGAGTAGATGGGGTCGGCAACGTCGTTGTGGAGGAAATCGGGCTCCACATCGAGCCGCATCGCCGATGCATCGGCGATGCGGCGCGATCTTCCGACCCCATCTACCCTGACCCCATCTAGGAGGCCTAGATATAGGGGAGCAGCGAGCGACATAGAGCGAAACCTTCGGAGGCTTTCGCTGATTTCTCGGATCGGCGCTGGACCACCCTCCCTGGCGCGCGGAGCGCGCGAAAGGGGCAGCGCCGGAGGCGCCACCAGGGGGCTCCAGCAAGGATCCGAGAAATCTGGGCGGACCTCTGAATGTTTGTGTTTAGGTCAGTCTGTGTTCCGACCGAGGACGAGGACGAGGACGAGGACGACGAGCTCCATCGCCAGGGGGCAGCGCGTGCCGCGAGCGCCGACCGCCCGGAGCCGCAGCGTGGCGAGGAGGGCGGCGGAGGCCACGACGGAGCCAGCGTCCATGAGGCAAGCCGCCGCGCCGAGCACCGTGCACGCCCAGGACAGCACTGCGAGGACGGACGCATTGCACATGTGCTCCCCCTCGTCGAACAGCCCTGCCAGGTCTGCGCTGGATCGGATCGCGACGTCGGCTCGGATCGAGAGCGGATCGAATCGCCAGCGAATCGTGTCCCGAATCGGATCGAAATCGGATCGCCGCGCCCCGCTTCCGGCTGGCCCTGGCCGATGCCGGTGGATAGAGCGGGATCGCATCGAATTGGAATCGCGGCCCCAGCCGGCGAATCGAATCGCATCGAATCGGATCGTAGGAGGCCATGCCTGCCCACGCGGCGCAACTGACTCCAACGACACCGCAAGCACAGGCCACGTCGAAGGAGCCCGTCGCGACCTCGACGATGAGCACGGTGCTGGGCAGCGAGAGCACGATGGCACAAGCCATCAACATCTCGGCTGGCCCAGCCCGACGCGCAGCGGCGAGCACCTCCTCCTCCGCCTCGGCAGCACCGCCCACGTTGCCCTCACCCGCCAGCCACCACGATGGCCTCGAGCCAGGAGTCCGCATGGGCGTGCAGTTCTCCTGGATGTGCTGGAGCTCTGCTGCGTGCCTGCGGACGTCCTCGGAGCTCAGTCCAATGGCTGCGAGCGCCGCCGGGGAGCTCTCTGCCGCATCGGCCAGCGCCTCCAGATGCGCTCGCGTGCGCCGCCTCACGGCAGCCGTGGACGGCCCCCAAACCGTCGAGCCCTGCCACGCGTCCTGCTCCCTGGAGCTGACCAGGCACTGCTGACCAGTGGCTGGCCCCCCGGTGCTGGAGAGCACGCCGCGGCACACGCGGCAAAGGCCGAACAACGCGGCGGCCATGCACCCGAGCAGCTCGAGCACCGGCCTCATGAGCCTCGCCGAGCACCTGGGGAAACCAGAAGGCACCGATACTGCCACTCTTAGGTCGGGCATGTCCCCCTACAGGCAGATATTGTATGAAAATCAAACATAGCCAAATATCAGCCAGCGTTGACTCCAAATAGATGAGATGACTCAAATCAAGGAATGAGAGGAATCAAGCATGCTTGGAATCCGACCTCAGCAAGCAAGCAAGCGTGCAAGCAAGCGCGCAAGCGCGCAAGTAAGCAAGCGTGCAAGCGCGCATGCGCGCAAGCAAGCAAGCAAGCAAGCAGGCATAGGCATAGGCATAGCCATAGGCGTAGGCATAGGAGTAAGAGGGAGGCGTAGGCATAGGCATAGGCATAGCCATAGGAATTAGGGGGGGCATAGGACTTAGGGGGGGCATAGGACCCAATGGTAGGGTTTGAGAGGACTCCTATAGGTCAAGCATATTTGGATAACATATTCAGAAATAGTTAGAAATAGTAGAAAAATCGTCCCCAGACTATGTTTGGACAATTTTTGAAAATTCCTTCTGTAGAGGTAATGCCCAATTTACGCTACTCCCCAGACCTTTCCCGGGGTGCGCTCTGACCAAGATTTCGAGGCGAATCCAGCGGTGGCAACGGGGACCCCAAAGGGAAAAACGAGGCAAGGGTACCGGTAATCGGTACACTGGAGGCCAGTCCACAAGAAACCTTCCACAAGAAACCCGACCCTGAGACCCCTGAACGCCCCTTGATTTCTGGTGCGGGAACGTCACACGCCTTCCACAGCAGAACCATCGAAGCCCAAGAAACCCAGGGCACCCTGGAGGCAAGCAGGGTGACTCTTGGCATGGGCCTCCACTGTACCCTTTGGTCGGGAATGTTCTCCTACAGGCGGATTTTGGGTGACAAATAAAACATACCTAACAAATACTCCAAAATAGTCACACATAGTCGAAACATCGTCATCAAATTATATTTTGAATATTCCTCCGGTAGAGGGACATGCCCGACTGAACTGCGCCGGTAGTCGGTACCTTTTCCTCCTGGGAGCACCTGCGGGCGGCGAGGGCGACGCAGTCCACCAGGTCGCGCACGAGACCCACCACCATCAATAGCGCCTGCATGCGCAGGAAGGCCGTCAGCAGCACGAACCCGTGCGCCTTCATGCAGGAAGCCTGCAGCGCGGCGTCCCGGGCCTCCAGAGGAAGAGCAACAAACAATAAACATCAACTTTCGACGGTCTGCGCGGATTTCTTGGATCGGCGCTGGGCAGCCCTCCTCGGGGATGGACAGAACCCCCTTTAGCAAAACGTGGCTTAGTGAAAACGGCCTCGGGCCCAAACCTGGCGGGCGCAAGCCTGGAAAGTGACGGCCGCGGCGCCCTCTCGAGCACCGAGAACAACGGACAATTCACTACTCGACGTGTTAGGGTGGGGGTTCTGTCCACCCCCGACCTCCCTGGCGCGCGGAGCTCGCCGCGGGGCGGCGCTGGAGGCGCCGCCAGGGGTGTCCAGGTCAGATCCAAGAACTCCGCGCGGACCGTCGACAGTTTCTGTTCATGCCGCTGCTTCTTTGTCGAGCCTCGTCGTACATAAACAGCACCTCCTGCAGGGGCCTCACCTCGTGGCCGAGCCTCTGCTGCAGCGCACTCAGCTGGCCCCCGAGCTCGGCGCGCTGCATTGCGCCTGGGGGGACAGCAAAGTTCCGATGCCGCCACGGCAGGTTCGTGTCGTGCCGACTTCGGTGTTGGTTTCTGGCACAGCGGGGATCGTTCAACTTTGAGCGATCGGCCGATTCCGAAACGTCCGATCCTTCAACATCGACCGATTCTGGGTCTCCGGCGGCGTTCAACGTCAACTGCCGGCGGCGGGGTCGCCGCCAAACGACACGACGCGAACGTGCCGTACTCCCTGGACCTCTCCCTGTGCGCGTTCTGACCAGAATCTCGGGAAGCATCCAACCGTGGCTCGGCGACGAGCGAGGGAAGTGAGAAGGAGAAGGCCTTCTCAGAAGGCGGCGGGCCTTCGCCGGGGGCCTTCCGAGCCTTCTGAGAAGGCCTCCTCCTTCTCACTTCCCCCCGGGCTCGCCGCCTGAGGACGAGCAGCGGTATCGGCACCTCTTCCCCCTCCTTTTGAGCTGGGACCGACCGTCCTGGTATTCCTATAGGCCTACCAGGAGAATGCTCTTGGAACAAAAGACTGTTCTCATAACAGAACAACGATTAGACCATCGAGCAGACATGCTAACAAAAGACGGTCTCAACCATAAATGCTATAAGAACATTTCGTGCAAGCCACAAAAGGTCATTCGAACATTCTTTGGTGGGGCTGTCGGCAAGCCAGGACGCTTCGCCACAGCTCGACCCTTTGAGTGGGGGATCGACTACCGAATTTATGTACCCCAGAACTGATTTCTTCATTGCATGTACGAAGGGATGTGCGCAGAATGTTCGTAAACCTGCGGAGCATTCTACGTACGTTTCGTCGATTCGACGAGCGTACGAATTTTGGGGTACATGAGTTCGACGATTCGACTCGATCCGATCGTTGGGAACATCACTTCTGGGGTACGCCAATTGAAGATTCGTTCGTTCGACGAACTGAATCGATCCCCGACAATCCACCTACGTTCCCCATGGCTAAGCCATCGAAGACCAAGAATCCCAGGGCACCCTGGAGGCAAACAAGGCGTTTCTTGGCATGGGTATCCACTGTACACGCCCAGCCGTGTCGGTCGGATTGCCCTGTTTCCATTGGCGTCCACTTGGTTTCGCGTTGCTGCTCCAGGAACAGGCTTGATAGTCTAAAACCTCGGATGCGCGAGCTGCACCCGAGGAGGAGGTACGAAGAGGAAGACGAGGAGGAAGAAAAGGAGGAAAAAGGAGGAGGAGGAGGAGGAGAAAAAAGGGGAGGAGGGGGAAGAGGAAGAACCCTGGGCGCCGTCGGCCAGGTCGCGCAGGGCGGCGGGGGCGCACGCCCTCCGCCTCCAGCGCCACGGGCCCGTGCCTGCCGCGCCTTCTGGGAGGGCGCCCGGGCCACCGTGCCTGCCTGCACCGCCAACCCCGGCCGAGCCGACCCCGGGCCCTCTTTCCCTGGCGAACGACGAAAGCACACGATTGCACGAGGACGACGAACGGCGGCCAGCGACGATAATGACCAGGCGGGCCGACGACGACGAGGAGAAGGAGGACGAGGAGGATGGCGACGACGACGCGGGCCCACGGCTACGAGGACGGGGGCGGGAAGGATGCCGAGGACGAGGGCGACGCGGGCCGACGACGAGGAGGCGGCGAGGCGGGGAACGGTCGGGGGCGGTGCAGAAGCATCCCCGGCTCTGCGCGCTGGGGCCCTCTGGGCCGCGCGCCCAGACCTCCGACGATGTGACTTCGCCCCCCCCTTCCCCCCCGAGATCCCGAGGCGGGTCCCGAGGGAAGCGGGCCATTGATCTCCAGAGGCTCCCATTGGACGTGCACTTTTCATCCCGAACCCTCTCCCTTGCCGCCCGCGCGAAGCACGTGGAGGGCCGCGGGGGGGGGGGTGCTAGAAACGGCGAGGAAACACAACATTGAGATCCTGGCGCTACACTTCCTTCCGAAGGGGCGTTTTCGCCAGGTTTCGGCCCCGGGGGCCCTATCGATCCGGCTCGACAAACGTCGCAGAAGGATGGGCTCCGGCCGCGATCTTTCGCGACGTTCCAATTTCTTCGAGACGTCGGCTCTCAGGGGGGGAGGAAACACCTCGAAGACGCTTCCCGAGGCGACCTGGGTCGCGCGGAGGAGGAGGGGGGGGGGGGGAACGCGCCGCGGCCCCGAGGCCGCGCCCTCGCCTGCGGGCGCCGCGACTCGCGCGGGCCCGTTCCACAGGCGACGGCCCTTCTCGCACAGGCAGCCACCTTGCCCTCGCAGGGCGGCCGCTGCCCGTCCGCGCCCTCTCGGGCGCCCCTTCTCGCACGGAGGCCGCCGCTGCCCTCGCGGCGCCGTTGTCGCGCGAGCTGGCAGCGTCCGCAGACGGCTGCCGCTGCCTTCGCCGAGGGCGGGGTCCACGGCAGCGGCGAGGTGTGTAGGGTCAGTAGCAGAGAACCCCGCCGCTTGCCGCGCCCGCGCCCCGGCGCTCCGCGTCTCCGCGCTTGGCTGGGCGTCGCTCCCTGCCCTCGCGAGCCCTGCGTTTTGCGCAGGCCGTGATGTGCGGCCTGTGCAGCACCCTCTGCTGCTGCTCTGCCTCAGCCGCGCGCGCGGGCCTCGACTGGCACAGCAGCCACTTGCTGGCGATGGCCCGCCGCGCTGCCCACATCGCCTGGCTGATCCATCTCCCGCACACCTTCTCGCGCGCGCTGCTCCCAGCGCTGTAGCTGACGATCTTGGGCGCTAGCTTCGCCCGTTCCTTCTCGCAGGTCCTGGCCCCAGCGCTGTAGCTGATGGCGTCGGTTTCTACCTTCGCCTCCCACTTCTCGCGCGCGCTGCTCTCAGCGCTGCAGACGACGATCTTGGTTGGGCTCTAGCTTCGCCTGCTCCTTCTCGCACCTCCTGGCCCCAACGCTGTAGCTGATGGTGTCGGCCTCTACCTTCGCCTCCCAATTCCTGTACGCGCTGGTCCCAGGCTCGTTTTTCGCCTTCTGCTGCCACGGCCTGTCCTTCTCGCGCTGCTCGCTCTTCTCGCACGCACATTGTCCGTCTTCGTCAAACGTCCACTGCCCGCCCGTCCACTTGAGGCTGCCGCTGCCATTCCTTCTCGCACGCTTGAGGTTGCCACCGCCCGTCTTTCTCACAAGCCCTGGCCCCTGCCAGAAATAAACAAGCACCCTCCTCTGTCGGCCGCCCTGGCCTCCTCCACGCTTGAGGCTGCCGCTGCCCGTCCTTCTCGCACGCGCGGGATCCGACTTCTTGAGGCTGCCACTGCCCGCGTATCTCGCAAGGTCGGTCCTGGCCCTCACGGAGCGCGCGCGCGCAAGGCCCGACCCCTTTCGGCTGCCACTGCCCGTCTGCTTGAAGCGGCCGTGGTCTGTCCGCCTGAGGCTGCCACTGCCCGTCCATGTCGCACGTGCAGTCGTCGCTCTCTCGGCGCTGCCACTGCCCGTCCTTCTCGCGCACCCTGATTCCCGCGCTGTAGCTGATGGTGTTTGGCTCTATCGCAGCCTCCCACTTCTCGCACTCGCAGTTCTCAGTAATGTGGCTGGAGTAGTTGGGCTCCAGCTTTGCCTCTTGTCCGTTCTTCTCACACGAGCTCCCCGCGCGACGCTGCCACTGCCCTGTCTCCTCGGCCTTCCTGGCCCCCTCAGCCTTCTTAGCCTACGCGGCCTTCCTGGCCTCCTCTGCCTCGTCCGCGTAGTCCTGCATCCACTGCAGGCCCCACCGCGGTTCCTCGGCAGTCGTCGCTGCCTCGCCCGCGCCGGTCCCTGCGCTGCAGCGGATGGCGTCGGGCTCTACCTTGGCCCCCCAAGACTGCCACTCCGCGCTGAGGAGCCAGCTGAAGTTCAGCTCCGTCGACCTGCACATTGCCATCTCAGGCGCCGCCACGCGAGCTCTCGCCTTCGGCCATCGGCGGTGCCTGCCTTCGCGCCTTCCCTCGGCGCTGGGGGCGCCCCGTGATCGCGGGCCCGGCCGCGCGGTGGAGGAGGATTTGGACGCCCGAAATGGGCACGGAAACAATGGGCACAATGCCCAACAGCAAGTGTTGTCCCGAACCAACAGCGGCCGCTGTTGGGCAGGCGGCCTTCTGTCTCAAATGGGCACAGGCCGCGGCGGCGTGGACAGCGAATCCTGTTCAAAATGAACAGGAACTGCTATTGGGCATTGCATCCATTCCTTCGGCACCCATTTCGGGCGCCCAGAGAGGAGGGGGAGGAGGACGAAGAGAAGGAGAAGGAGGAGGAGGAGGAGGGCACACGACGACGCCCATCCTCGGCCCACATCGGGCGTGGATGGACCAGGCGCGGCGCGAACCCACCTCCGCCAATCCAGAAATAAAACGCTGCGTTTTTGTTGAGGGGCTTCCCAAGGCCGGGCCGGCCAATGCGAGCGGCTTCCAAACACGGCATCCCTCAAATCTGACTTTCAAAAACCACGAAACATCACAAACATTACCAACGGACCCATGGACCCCATGTTTCCGCAACATTCTCCGAGCCAGATCGCGCTGTGATGGCCGCGGGGCGGTGTGCATAGGTTCTAGAATGTGTTGGAGGATCCTGCAGGATGTGGCGTTCTGGCTGAACCCCGTTTGCGCTGAGCCCCGCTGCGTGCGCCCCGACCGCTCCTTGCGCGTGCATAACCGCTAGCCGTAGGAGGAGGATGAGGCGGAGGCGGAGGAGAAGAGGGAGGAGAGGGAGGCGGAGGAGGAGGAGGAGGAGGAGGAGGAGGAGGATTTTTCCTCGGAGGCCCTCGAGGCAGAACTGAAACAAAAACCCTGCCTACCCCGATCGACGGGAGGCAGCTGCGGCTTCTTCCCGCGCACGAATGCGGGCCGCCAAAGCCTCCATGCCAGGAGTTGACACGAGGCGCAGTCGGGAGGCCGTCTGTCTACCACCTTGTGTGGCCGCAACCTCCATGACAAAATCAGCAGAGCGACGGCAAGGGTCCGTGACACGATTATCATTGTAAAAGTGCGGGTGGAGCCCCTGCTTGATACGGGATAAGGTCTGGGATCTCGTGCCCAGCTTTCCACAGCACCGCGTCGCCAGCAAAACACACCTCTTCGAAGAGTAGGCCCCACACCTATAGCAAAACACTAAAGGTTCCTGGGCTTCGTTGTCAATCATCGAGCAAGCTAGGAGGTGCCCCCGTCCTTCGGCATCCTTCAGATTCCGAAAAGCAGTGGGGACCCCTTTGCACCCTACCATCGATCTGTCCTGATCCCAGGTGATCGAGAAACACTTGGTGCACCTCCATGCTACTCCCGAGTCGATCTCGCACCAGTCGTGCCAACTCGGATCTCTGACAGCCGCCGTCGCCCGAGGGCCTCTGGCAGAGCGACGGAACTCCATCTTGGGGTAGCAGGAGAGCACCGCATCAAACATTCGAACTAAAACTTTCACACGCTTCACGCACACATCCAGAGCCTCGAGGTCTTCAGTCGGGGCCCCTGGGTGAAGTGTCAGTGCGTGCTTGGCTAGCCTATCAGCATCAGCATTTCCCAGTGCAATGCGACGCTCCAAAATCGGTAAAGCCAAAATGACCTCCTCAGACCTGTGGGCGGGGGTGTAGGAAGCAGGTCCCAGACAGCCCTGAGGGTCGTGTTCTATAGCAAGCCTCCTAAGGCCAGCAAACATCTGCTTTGGGCACAGCTGTTCCCGACGACTCGCATTGTGCAACTTAACGGCACCAGAGCAGTCACTGTGAGGTGTGGCAGGGTGATCTATGACACAGCTGAGCGTGGCTATGCCAAGATGCTCCGCCGACTGCGGGGTCTGGAAAAGGGTGGGCCATACTGTGCCCATCATCCTTGCCTGAATCTTGTATTCGGGGCCAGGTGCTAGGAACACAGCCCCGAACGCAGCACGTTGGAGCTCCTTAAACACCTGCTGAGTTGCTGAGCCGTCAACCACGGGCTCACACCCACGGGTCAGCTCAAGAAAATCTTCAAAACTGATTTCCTGGCCCTCGGAATCCTGAAAGGTCGGGTCGAGGTTCCAGGACGGACCAGGGACCACAGGCTGAGGCAAAATGAGCCTCGTCCAGAACAAAAGCTCCTGGGGGTCGGCAGCTTTCACCTGATCAATCAGCTCCTGACTAACATACTCGAGCCTCTGTTCAGCCACACTCGGACAGAGCCATTGCCGATGGAACAGGGAGTCGGGTTCCCTACACAAAGGACAGCCCCCCCCCGTGGTCATACCCGCACGCTCTCATCCGATCTCCCGTCCAACAGGCACCTGAAACATGATGGACCCACGAACCCGGAAAGGGATATAGACATGTGCAGCATGGTCACGTTTTCACGATATCCAACTGGGCGACACCTCACGAAACATCCCACGAGACACCCCGCGAAACATTCCAGGAGACACCTCACGAAACAAC